CTTGGAATAAATCTCACTTGATCATGTATGATCCTTTTAATGTGCTGTGGAATTTGGTTTGCTAATATTTTGTGAAATTTTTCACCTATATTTATCAAGGATATTGGCCTGGAATTTCTTTTATTGTAGTGTCTTTGTCTGGCTTGTTTTCATGGTAATGATGGGCTTTTAAAAGGAGTATGGAAGTGGTCTCATTTCTTCTGTTTTCTGAAAGTTTGAGAAGGATTGTTACAATTATTTAAATGTTTGGTAGGGGATTGTTTTATAGTTCTTGGTGTTCAGGTCTTTTACTTCCTTGGTTTAATTTACTCCTAACTATTTTATTCTTTTGATATAATTGTAGCATTGTAAAATTGTAGAATTATAACTAATGGTTAAATTCCTCAGTGAAGTCATCTGGTCTTGGACATTTCTTTGTTGGGAGGTTTTTGATTACTGATTCCATGTCCTTACTAGTAATTGGTCTGTTTAGATTTTCTGTATTTTTGTGGTTCATTCTTGATAGGATATGTCTGCAGGAATTTATCTGCTGGTGTGTAATTGTTCATAGCAGTTTCTTATCATCCTTTGTATATTTCTGTGGGATCAGTTACAATATCTCCTTTTTCATTTCTGACTTACTTATTTGAGACTTTTTTTTCTCTTTTCAGTCAGGCTTGTCAATTTTACCTTTTCAGAACATCAGCTCTTGTTGCATTGATATTTTCTATTGTCTTTTTAGTTTAATTTATTTTCACTCTGATCCTTGTTGCTTCCTTCATAATACTAACTTTGGGTTTTGCTTTTCTTGTTCCTTACAGTGTAAAGTTAGATTGTTTATTTGAGCTCTTTTTTTATTTATTGCTATAAACTTCCCTCTTAGAACAACTTTTGCATGCTATAAGTTTGGGTATATTGACTTTCTATCATCATTTGTCTCAGATATTTATTTATTTATTTTTTGACCCACTGGTTGTTTAGGAGCATATTGTTTAATCTCCATATATTTGTGAATTTTCTAGTCTTCTTTTTGTACTTGATTTATAGTTTCATACCATTGTGGTCAGAAAAGATGTTTGATATATTTTAAATCTTCTTTTATTTATTAAGGCTTGTTTTTGGCATAACATATAGTCTGTCCTAGAGAATGTTTCATATGCACTTTAGAGTAATGTGTATTCTCTATCTCTGTCTATGGAGAGAGACTTATCATAAGGAATTCATGTGATTATGGAGGTTGGCGAGTCCCAAGATATTCTTCAGGGTGAGTTGATAAGTTGGAGACCCAGGAGAGTCAGTGGTTTAGTTCCAATATAAGTATCCTGAGATCCAGAATAGCTGATGATGTAGTTACAGTCTGAAGTCTGAGAGGCTCAAAACCCAGGAAGAGCTTAATGTTTCAGGTCTAGTTTGAATAGAGGAAAAAGCCAGTGTTCTATTTCAAAGACTGTCAAGTAGGAAGAATTTTTTCTTAGGGTTGGGTCAGCCTTTTCTATTTATACCTTAAACTAGTTGGAAGAGGCCTATATACATTTGGAGGACAATGTGTTTCACTATATCTACCAATTTAAATATTAGTCTCATCCAAAGACATCCTCACAGAAACATACAGAATACTGTTTAACCAATTTCTGGACATCCATAGTTCAGTCAAGGTGACATATAAAATAACCATCTCACACATGTTCAGCATTGACTGAGAGTTCTAAACCATATAAGTAAACTGTGACCATTTTATTGTAGAAAAAGAAATTTAAAATGTGGTTGATGTTTGTAGTCTGTAAGAAACCTCAGTAATGCTCCCATGAATTGTCAGATATTGAACAGCATGACTCACTGATTTGTGCTCTAGACTAAACTAGATTTTCTTCTAAATAAAGGAGTGAGTGAACATGCTAGCTGTAGTTACTCATTTTGAATCAGTTGAATTTTAGAGATTATTTCCAATCAGAATGATTTTTTTACTCTACATCAGGGGTCTGAAAACCCATGGGTCAAATCTAGCTTGTCACCTGTTATTGTAAAGTTTTATTGCAACATAGCTACACCCATTCTATTGTCAACTGCTTTTACATTACAGTGACAGAGTAAGATAGTTTTGACAAATGGAATGGCTTATAAACCTGAAAATATTTACTATTTGGCCTTTTACAGAAAAAGTTTTGTGGAGCCATTCTTCCTGGTAATAGTTAATGATATAAGGCTAATTATTAAAGATTTTTCTAGCTTTTGATAATAACACCTTATCATTATCAGTAGATTTTACTTTATTTTTCCTTCCCCCAATCACTGATGTATGTGCATGGGTGTGTATGTCCATGTTTCTGTGGGTGTGTAACTACGTACTTTTACCTGTAAGTGGTTTCCTTAGGCCACAATTTGACAACAATGAATGGGGTAGATGTGTGGTGTGAGCTAATATGTAGCAGTACTTTATACTGGTCAAAATAGTTATAATATTTAAGAACAAGGGTTTTAAACTTTATTTCAGTGGATTTATGCAGCTTTTGTACAATTATTACTAGGAATCTATTCAATTTACATATCTTGATCTATGGCTAAGAATCAAATGTTGATGTTATCTGAAAATCAGTAAATAATTTTAAGCATTTTTTCTCATAAGGTGGTGGTGTATAACAATAATAATAGTAATAATAAAAATAATTACTAATGATAGAGTAACTGTTCCTGTAAATGTATTTGTTCCTTTAGTAAAACATTGTAGACAGCATTAGCATTTAGGTGTAGAGCTCTCTGAAAGCTCCTTTTTCATATATGTAAACATACAACCTCTTCTCTTACCATGGAATTTTATACATGCAACTATGTAAAGTGTTTCTCTCCCACACATAACTTTCTGGATGTCATTACATGTTAAAAAAATAGGTCAGTAAAGCCATTTTCAGCCCTTAAATATTATCAAATAATTTATAGATGCATATTTTATTTCTAGATATTTATTTTAAGTGGTGCTGCCAGAAATTTCCTTGTGCTTATTATGTTCTTTACTTCTCTGTTTTTGTTTTTTTTTGGATAAATTTCTAGTAAAAAGTCTTGTCTATGTTGAGATTTGATATCTGTTCCCAGATGCCCTAAATTAGAAATGTGATATTAATTTATATGCCCACAAAAGTATATGGACATTTCCTGCACTTTGACATCAGTTTTTCAAATATTTGCCAATAATACTATGTTTAGGTAATAATGTAGATAATGTAAAAATTGAAAAACTATTGTCTTTTTCATTTCTCTTATTAGTACGACTGGACATCTTTTCACATATTTATTTGCCATTTACATGTGCTCCCAGCTATTTATGCAATTTTCTAAAAAAATTATTCTCCAATTGCACTTGGGTGAGAAAGTAGTGGGCTGGTTGCCCTTTTTTGATAGTGGTTTAGACAGACTTTGAGTTCTTTAGATGGAATATTATCTGAGGAGATGAGTGAGGTCAGTTTAGCATCTACAAAGTATTAAGTGGTTGTTCTGAACCTCACAGTTGGTAGCAAGTATCTCTTTGGTCAGTATTTTAAAATCTTGAGTTAATTTAAATGTGTATGGCTTTTAAAGCTACTTCTGTACCTGCATCTATAAAATCTAAACAAATTTAATGTATAAAGTATAAATAAAAATTCAAAATAATATTGTGGCATAATGTTTTATTATTATAAATTATTTTAAATGTTAATGTTGGGATTATTAATAAGGTAGAAAATAGCTTCAGGTCTGGCTTTTAATTTGTTTATGTATTTTGATTTTAATATTGATAAAGAGAGTTACTATCCCTAGAAGTGTGGTAAAAATGATGTAATTACTTTTATGGACATGTTTGTTGTTTTGCAAGAAAACACTCCTTACTTGCATGCCAATTTCAATAGTGTATCACATGGTAATTTTGTAAAGCTGTCTTGTTTCATATCTGATAAGTGTCCAGTACATTATTTGACCTTTATTTAAATACAGCTGTAATTGCAAACATAAAACACAAATGGCATTAAAATTATATGATAATAAATCTGTTTTAAGGTAGCCATACAACTACATACAGTGGCATTGAAATTAGGTGGAAGTAATCTGTTTTTAAGGAGTAACTATTCAGATTTTCTGTATTGTTCTTATTAATTTTTTAAAGTATGTCATTGAAATGAAAGTCCAAAATTCTTATACAGAATCAGCTCCCACGATTGAGTGTGCAGGCTTAAGTGTCCAATTTGAGAATCACTGTGTTAGCCATTAGTAAAGGTATGTGCTTCCATAGCTTTTACATAAAATTCAAGAGATTTAATATTGCTCTTTCAAATTATTGTACTAGTAATATATTTCACAGACAGCACTTGTTATGGATATATTTTAAGAATGATAAAGATTTACTATAACTCAAGGGAAAATTGAGCAAAGACCCAGGATGATGCTGTGGTGTTAAACCTTTGTCAAAAGATAACTAAAGAAATAAAATAATTTTAAACATTAAGCGATGAGGATACAGTAGGAAAAAGATAGATTTTTTTAACCTTCCGTGAGCATATCCTACTTAGATTGTCATGATTCAATTAGACTTTCCCTGAGCCCAAATCCTCAGCTGATGTCTGTGTATGGAATCACAGATGCCTACTGATCATTTATTCCAGAGCAGAGTACTGACATTTCTAGATAGACAGATGATAGAATTGACATTTTAAAAAAAGACAGCAGTATGTGTTTAAAAATTAAAAGCTCAATACCTGTAAGCAGAAATCAGAGTCCTTCAGCCCCTGAAAGCTTCTAAATCAGCACTGAATTTATGTATGTGTTAAATTTATTTGATGAATCTTGTTTTCATTGATCTATTTTTTTTTTTTTTTCCAGAGAATTATAAAGAGAAATGCACTTAGGCACATCATAGTAAGACTTCTGAAAATTTTTCATTGATCTATTTTAATTCTAACCTTTTATATCTTGTGTATTTTTTACAAGGCCAAAAAAGGTATCTTCTGCCTACTGATAGATAAAGTGTGTTCACTTTTGCATATTTTCCTTTGTAGGCCCAGATTATTCTTCAGCATGGTTACCTGGTAATGAATCATTGTGGCAGGCCACAACTGTTCCATCTAACCACCGAAATAACCATATCAGGAGACATAGTATAGCTTCTGACAGTGGAGACACCGGCATTGGAACTTCCTGTTCTGACAGTGTGGAAGGTGAGCTTAAATTCTTAGTGCCTAGACATGAATCTTTGGAGAATGGTTGTGATTATGAACATTCAAGGGATATGTTTTACTATTCCAAACTAAGAAATTATAGTGTTTGAGTATTTAATAATATTCAGTGCTGTTACATACCAATGAAATTGTCCCTCTAGTCATATTAGATTTTCCTTCATTCACTCTTCTAATTAAACTTTTTGAGATAATTGTTGAGTCACATGCAATTTTAAGAAACAGTACAGAGATTCTATCCAAGTTTTTGAAAGTGTCACCTATAATTGTGGATTTGAATATTTCTTTCTTTAGCTTGATAAATTTGCATCATGTATTACATCTGTTTTTTGATACATACATGTTTAGAATTGCTGTGTATTCTTTGTGGATTGGCCCTTTTATTATTATATAATGTTTCTTGTCTGTCTCTAATTTTTTTTGTGCTGTACTTTATCTGAAATAATACTGCCTCTCATGTTTTCTTTTAATTAATATTTAAATGGTATATATTTTCTATTTCTTTACTTTCAGCCTGTCTGTCCTATATTTGAAGTAAGTTATTTGTAACAGCATACAATTGAATCTTGGTTTTTAATTAACTCTTAATTTTTTAAATTAACTATTATTTAATTAAATATAATTGGTATATTTAGACCATTTACATGTAATGTAATTATTGATGTATTAATACTTCAGCTTTCTGTTTGTTCTTTTTGTTTCTGTTTTCATTTTCCTGTCATCCTGGGGTTATTTGAACATTTTTAGAATTCCACTTGGATTTATCTGTAGTATTTTTTTTTTTTTACAAAAAAAATTTTTTTTGGTATCATTAATCTACAATTATATGAGCAACATTACAGTTACTAGACTACCCCCATCATTAAGTCCCCACCACATACCCCATTACAGTCACTGTCCATCAGCATACTAAGATGCTATAGAATCACTACTTGTCTTCTCTGTGTTCACAGCCCTCCCCATGCCCCTCCCACCCACATTATGTCTGCTAATCCAAATGCCTCTTTTTTCCCCTTGTCCCTGTCTTCCAACCCATCTTCCCTAATGCCTTTCCTTTTGGTAACAGTCCATTCTTGAGTTCTGTGCATCTGCTGCTGTTGTGTTCCTTCAGTTTTTGCTTTGCTCTTATACACCACAGATGAGTGAAATCATCTGATACTTGTCTTTCTTCTCCTGGCTTATTTCACTGAGCATAATACCCTCTAGCTCCATTCATGTTGTTGCAAATGGTAGGATTTGTTTTCTTCTTATGGCTGAGTAATATTCCATTGTGTATATGTACCACATCTTCCTTATCCATTCATCTACTGATAGACACTTAGGTTGCTTCCATTTCTTGGCTATTGTAAATAGTGCTGCGATAAACATAGAGGTGCATATGTCTTTTCAAACTGGGCTGCTGCATTCTTAGGGTAAATTCCTAGAAGGGGAATTCCTGGGTAAAATGGTATTTTTATTTTTAGTTTTTTGAGGAACCTCCATACTGCTTTCCACAATGGTTGAACTAATTTACATTCCCACCAGCAGTGTAGGAGGGTTCCCCTTACTCCACATCCTCGCCAATATTTGTTGTTGTCTGTCTTTTGGATGGTGGCGATCCTTACTGGTGTGAGGGGATTATCTCATTGTGGTTTTAATTTGTATTTCTCTGATGCCTAGCGATGTGGAGC